GTGGGAGCAGGACTGACCGCCTCTCTGAAAATCCTTTGTCCCACAGCATGCCTCTCTCTGCATCCCCTGGCCTACGCCACGGTGCAGGGGGGGGGGAGGGGGGGGTGATATCAGTGGCCGCACCAAGCCTTCGTCACGGGGGGTGAGGGTAGGGGGTATTAACTCGAGGGCCCTCCACTGTTCTGATCTCGCACTGATCATCTATTTTTGTCATCCCCAGTATGTTTTCTGAGAGGGAATTAAGAGAAGAAAAACGGGGCAGGGGGGGCAGTACTTTTCCACACAGTGAAGGTGGAAACTCTCCAACTCCCACCGAACCATCCCCACCCCCACCCAGCAACCGAAGCACAGTGAGGGACACTATAGGTACCTGGGAGGTGGTCCCACACCAAACATTAACTGGGACCCTCACCCCCTTTGGCTTAACAGTAACAGCGCCTCACTCACCGGTCCCCCGCAGCCCTGAGCATCCGGCAGCAAGCGCTCACCTCGCTGAGTCACGCACATCACAGAAACAGCCAATTAAAAGCAGGCAGGCCCATGCTTTCGGATACTTAAAAACACATTTGCCTTAGCAAAACTTTCCCGCTTTGTGGTATGCGGACGTGCTTCCAGGAAGAGCTTCAAAGGGCTTGCATCATAACGCAATCCTAAGGCGAGCGTAAATTAAATGTGAGCGGTTTGTTTATTGGGAAGCCAGAGTACGCAGCCTTTCCACAGGTCGGGAACCACGAGGGGGGCAGATTATCAGAAACTTCTGCGTGGCCCGTAACAAAAATCCTTGGCACTGAGTGAGGCTCAGAAAGTCCCGCGAGCCACGATGCTGGTAATTTAAACCAGGCCGTACTCCAAGTCCGCCGGCTTCAAACAGCACATAAAAAAACTCCCAGACCTAAACATGGTTTTGACATAGCAATCACATGACCGCATGCTAAACGGTTAACAAGCACATAATGCAAGCAATACAGACTGTAACATTAATACTGGTGTCCCACCCAGATGTAGGCCTCCAAACCGAGTAAGACTCTTTTGTAGATATTTATGCCAGTGTAACACTGGCACATTCGTACGACGGCCGTAAGACGTGCATTTTTGCAAGATCAAGAGCCACACTTGAATGTTTATAGAAAGACAGACGAACAGACAGATATGACAGACACAGTAATAATTATTTAGCAGAGTGACACACAAGGACACCTGTCACCTGCATTTGGTTTTGCACGATTTACACGATTCGGCCTCTCCAAGGTATCACCACAGGCAGCTGACTTGAGTTAATTTAAACCAGCCTGTTGTGCGAGTGTGTCGGCTGACGCAACTACCGCAAACTGTGGGGGTGTGGCTTAAAATTCCAAGCGAAATGTGGTGAAGAAACACGGCGAGCAATGGAAAAAGCCACCTCGTGCTTGAGTCTGGATGACATCAGCCAACATCTGTGACAGGAGCTCAAATGTCCAGTGCGGGGGGCGGGTGGGGGTCATACGAATAAGCAGCTATGTGACCGCATATGGGAATCGGTGAAGGCCATTAAAGAATAATGGAAATGGCGCTTATTAGTCAGAGAAGGTCTGTAAGGTGAGCCTGGCATTTGGGTGGGACCACCCACCCAGAAGGTCATGAAGAACTGACAGCGAGGAACTCCAGGGCAAGGAGACATCCTATGAAAGCTGGGCGAGGACAGACACGGGGACCCAGGGACTAGCAGGAGTCAAACGGCAGGGGGCTTACATTTGAGGGTCTCTCCGGCATAGGGGATATGCAGCTTGAATCGGTCACAGCAAGGGCCCGGGGTCAGCGATGTGCATCTGGGATGGGAGGAGGGGAGAGATGAGAGAGACGTCAAGCGAGGAAGACGAGGCGGGAGACACCGCGGTAACGGTGGGCGTGACAGGGAAGGGCCAGCGGTGTGGCCCCGGGGCGAGTATCTGACTGCGTGCATCGCCGGCCTCTCTCGTCATGTCATTCAACACCTGACGAGAGCATGTGGCGCGGTGTGGCGAGGTGGGGTGCGTTCGTACCACTTCTCAAAAGCAGGCTTGCCAGGCCAGTTGATTGCACAACACTCCTGTACTGTTACCCTGGGCGGGGGGGGACTCACGTGTCCCCGAGGGGCCCAAGGAAAACAGAGTCTGCATGCTGACACACCCCCCCCCCCATCAAATCAGCCTGGGCTCCTCCTGATTTATTATCTTGTTAGTCATCAGAAAAAATGCATCAGATCACTTGCCAGTCTCGTGAAATCTCTCAAAGCTGGCTCTCTCTGAGCAGATAAGCCACCTGCCGTTAGCAGTATACATACATTTTATTTAGCAGACATACACTTCTGAAAATGCAAGAGCCAAAGGTCTTGCTCAGGGACCCAACAGTGACATCACCCAGCCGACCATGGGATTTGAACTGGTGACATTCTGATCACAGGCACAGTGTCCAAACCAGCCGAGGCACACATCTCCCCCTGCGTGTAACCATCTCCAGCAGAGTCTGTAAAAACTTTATCTACCCTACCAGTGTTAAACAATTCTGTAAACTTCTGTAGCAGACTGTGTCTTATTAGGTTTAATATTTTGGAATTTTGAGTTAAATCTCAAATTACAAGGCCACCGCTGCAAGCAAAATGATGATGATTCTCCCGATAGTTTCCTTGAATTATGATAACAAGATGCCGTGTTTTTCATCAGCCGGAAACACTGATGCATAGCGTGAGCCAAGACAAAAATTAATCATTAGTTAATCTCTAATCACAGCATTAGCTAAGCAGCTTCGTATGAACTCCGCAATGTGCACAAGGTATAGGTACACAAGTGGCAGGGTGTGCCAGTTTAAAGCTGTTGTTCATGCAACACCTGCAGGAAAGGGACCTGTGGTTCAGCTTAGGCTTGGAACTGACCTGGGCCCCTGTGGGGGGGCAGGCTGGGGTCTCAACTCACCCTGACTTGAGGTCAGTGATACGCAGGCAGTTGGTGGAGTCCAGGCCCACGCGACCGTTGCGTACCACACTGGACAGCAGGGGGCGTAGCTCTGGGGAGATGCGGTTCAGTGCCACTTCAGGGGACAAGCTGTTCATTTTCCGATTGTGGATCTCTGTCGGCAGCCCCACAAAGATAAAAAGAGAATGATTAGATCTTCAGGAGATCTGCACTGATACCCACTGAGGCTGACTACAGAAAGCCCACGGGGACTTTCTGGGTGCAGGTAACGTCTTTTTACAAGGTCAAAGCATTTCCATCACCCTGAAACTACTGCAGTGAGTCACCGACACCACACATAACACAGGTGTTGTGCATTTGCCAAACACAGATTTTAATTACTAGATGAAAAAGAAAGACAAACAATCTCTCAGACCTGAACACGATTTTGACATAATCACATGACCACATGGTGAATACATAACCAGCACGTAATGCGTTACTCTCAGTAATATTAACACTGGTGTCCCAGATATGAACCCACAACAGAAGAGCGCCTCCGAATCAAACGAGACTATATTTTCATATCTAGATGTTTATGTAGCTGTGACACTTCCGCGTTAAATTAATACAATGACTGTAAGGCGAGCACTTCTGCGAGATAAAGAGCCGTACGTGAATGTTGACAGATAGATAGATAGATAGATAGATAGATAGATAGATAGATAGATAGATAGATAATGCTGAGTTTATGACGCATTTGTGTTCTGAATTTGAATTGAAAACGCAAATTCATAATATCAAATATAGCAACACACATGGACACCTGTGACATATATTCCAATGGGGGTGGGCAGGACTGCTTGCAGCTACATGTTTTAGCCAACTTCGAGGTATCATTAGATAAGCTGTCCAGTCATCGATAACAAGAGAAGGTAAACTACCAAGACTTATTTAGCTACTTGCTTTGAATAGGAAAAAGAAACGGTCCCGTGAGTGTTTTTGCGAACACGGTGAACAGAGATATATTAGCCTTCGAGTACATGTGGGAGGGGAAAGACGAACATTTCGTATAAAACGAGACGATTATCAGTACCTGCTTTTCAAACGAAATCCCGACAATATTTACGTGAGATAAAAACACATCCCGCTCCAATCGCTTCCAACTAATCTGGTAAATGTGTTCCGGGGTCCTTCGGCCTCCGAAAAATAGGACTGTCCATATTTGTGCCTGTTTAAAGGAATTTAACAGAATTTTTATAGCAATATATAATATGTATATTTTGGAAAAATAGTAACACTGATAAATAATGTTTCATAATTTCCCCAGTATTCTTAAGTAAATATTTTATTTATATTTTAATTTGCACTTTTATCCGTAAAGGCAAAAACGCGTATTGATTAGAGGTCCTTCGTTGCTGATATGTTACTGTAATACAATGTGAAGGCATTGAAATGCACTTTGGTCAGTGGGAGAATCGTGAGATAACCATACAACAACCAGCCAAAAGTTGGAAAATCGGTAATATTTTAAATATTTAATTTCAGTAACAAGTTCTACAGCATTACATTATTCACTGAAATGAATAATGTTGTTGATGTTATTATTATTTACGCACATCTTCTGCAGTGAAAACTGAAAGCGTGTGTCCAGGTCAGGATGCTTCGCTCTCCGGTGCTCGTCAGGCTCTCAGCTGACTCGTACGAGCAAATACACTCGCCTGAAACTAAAGTTTGTTTCTATTCTCATGTCCATTAAATTGTATTTGCTAGATAAATACAATGATTAATAAATGTGTAGTAAGAGTATTTAGTGAATCAAGATGAAGACTTTCTTGGGGAGGGTCTCCTTGTTAGTTCTTGGCCCATTATTAATAGTATCCACGTTAATTTTAAAACTGCTGTTATGACCTTTGGGAAAACTACACAATGTTAAACTACCGAAATAAATATAAATATATTAATTAAGGCATCTAAATAATGATGTTGTTAAATTGCACTGCAAAAGGGATCATGTATTCTGAAATAAAGTGACATGAAATTGGCACAAGAATTTCTTCAAGCTGGGTAGAATAGTTTACAATATGATCACCCCAATGACCCCTCACATTACATGGGATCAAGTTGGTTACATATCATTAAATAACCTGCATCCATGGAAATGGCGACAATGCTGTCATTGTATGGCACCACAGACAGTCTGTCTCTCCCGAGGCTGTGTGAGAGGTACCACTGCTCCAAACGGAGTCGACGCCTTCTGAAAAGAGGAGTTTCCTCCGCCGTCTGCCGCAGTTATGCAGCCCGTCAGCTTTCGAGTGGAACAATGGAGGGCTGTTGTGAGCAGCGGTGCAACAAAGCAACCGTTTAAAAAAAAAAACCGCAGCCTTTTGTCTGGCAAACATTTCAGCCACATCCAGAATTAACGAATCACGCGGCAATGATGCCGGTGCGCGCGTGGCTCCTCGCCGCGGACGAGGCGTTCTTGTAACATTACCATGTCCCTCAAATGCCGTGAATGGCAATCCGGTTGGTTAGACCACCCCCTCGGCTTCCTCTCCTTATTGTGAAAAGTACCTGACACCACCTGAGGGCGAATTCGTTTTTTTTCCCCTACTTTCCACCCTACCTGAAGGAGGGCAGCTTCACGGCAGGGTTAAACATGTCAGATCGGTCCCCAATCTTCGGGCCGTAACGTAATGAAATGCGAGCTGGGGATTTAATAACCGCGTGGAGGAGCAGCCTGTGAACGCGGGACCCAGGCTTTGAAACTGAGCTGCCCCTTAGCCAGCGGGGCCGGCCCTCCGAGACGAGATCTGAAGAGATTAGTCGGCTGGCAGTTGTCGGTGAGCGCGCACGGGGAGATCGCATTAAAGACTCGCCGTGCTGCAGCGCTGGGGCTTCTTCAAAACTCAAGTAATGGCCTGGGTATTGCTGGCAAAGGGCCAGCTTTGTGTAACATAAAGCGCTCTATTTTTGTGCTGAGCAGATCCACTTAGCCTAGATGGGTATGGAGTAGGGTGGGGGTGTGTTGCAAGGGACAGAGGACAGTCTGTGGTTAATGATCATGTGTAATCACCAGAAGATCATGGGCTCGCATCCCAGGAAAGGCTGTCATTTTCCTCCTGCCTGATTTCCAAATACACGTTCAGCCTTAATAATATATATGGAAGAGGATGTCATTGAGCAGCACTTGAGATGCTTTTATCCAATGCAACATGTAGTTGAGAAAGCAGGTCAGACAGTTCCTGCAACAACTGGGGGTCACGGGCCCAATGCTGAAATCACACTGCCAGCCCTGGGATTTGAACCTACAACGGTCACAGGCACAATGTTTTAACACACTGAGCTCCCCAGCACCATGGTGAAGGATGCTGAAGGTGTCCAGTCCAGGCAGGGGGGGGGTCTTGCTATACCCTCATTTAATAAGGAACTTAACCTGAACTGCTCAGGGTCAGGTAGCAAGTAGGGTTAGTGTTAGCTAAGTGCCAAAATTTCTCTCATGTTTTCCTCCTTCAGGTCATGACGGACGGGACCTACGAGGTGGTGGTAGTGGGGTCTTGTATGACGGACCTGGTGAGGTAAGACACCCCACCCCACTTCTGGTCTAGTTTCAGTCCCTCAAGGCGGCGCTGTGAACACATGCTCCTCCTGGGGGTTCCGGGTTTGAGCTAGGGCCGTTCAAGGATCAAGGACATCCTCATATTCCTCATTCCTTCGGAAGCTGACGGGTTTAGCATGGTCAGAATCAGAACCTAAGGATGCTGGAGGAACAGCTAGTCGTGGTGGCGCCGCCCTTGGGTGGGTGCAGATATGTTCATGCGTCGACCTCATCAACATCTGATATCTATAACTAACAATAAAACACGATCGCATGTTGCTTTGTTTACGTGTTTTTGTATCAACATTCTAATACAGATGATGTGTATTTTTGGATGGGGGGTGCATGCCAATCACAGGACCTGTATTATCCGTCACTCACACTGGTCACATTTCTAAAATAACGACAGGGCCTTTCCAGTCTGGAGGAGCGCAGCAGGGGGAACCGGTCCAGTGATCTGCCCAGAATTCGGGGGCGGTGTTGTTACGCTTGTCCGCCCCCGTGGCCGCCTGTAACCCAACACAGTAGGACCCCCCCCCCCCCTCGCTTTCTCAACACGGTCCAGAACCAAAATAACGGACCTTGGAGCCGTCCGGCAGGAAACCACCGGCAGTGGTGGTAGAGACAGCTTCCTGCTCATCCCACGGCCTCGTCCCCAGCAGCATGGCAGCTGAGCCGACGGGAGAGGGGCGAGGGCACGGCGTGGGGAATCGGAATGTTCCGGAGCCGACTCGGCGGGGAGCGGCAGAAAGCCGTCCCCGCGGCAGGCCAGCGTTCCGAGGCAACGGCGCTCCCGGTCGGCATGCGACATTGAATGCACCATGTGATACAACTCTGAAATGTCGCAATCCCGAAAGCGCCCTCCGGGACTGCAGCACGGTCCTGCCTGCAGGCCTGACGTCGCCCCAGGCCCTTAATGTTCTGTCGTCTTTTTCTAATCCGATTTAATTTATGGCAAACAGCATCATCCTGCCGCCTTTCCAGTTTCCTTCCAGAGCAGCTGTGACTCTCCCTGCGAGTGTGGCTGGCACTCAAACTTATCAGATTTTTCTCCCTCCCTCCCCCAACTTGCTCCCTTTCGGGTGGGCACGCTATCAATTATGGGAAGAGCGAGAAAAGCCGATTGTGTTTTTTTTTCTTTTTTTCAAGAAATGAAAGACTTTTTTTTTTAATCCATCAAAGTGATGTGCTCGACTTTGATGTCTGCAATCCAGTTGTCTCTGCGGCGGATGTTTCTGTGCTTGTGACAGATGGAGTGACAAGTCCCAGCCCCCCCCCCCCCAGCAGACACCCCCACGCAAACTGTATGCTGCTTGGCCACCTCCTGCCAAAGCCACACAGCGCCACCTGGTGCCCAGAGCCGGCTCTGTGCCACCGTCGCCGCCGACAACACTGATGTGCGGAGCTTCTGTTACCGGCTGACTGCCAGGTGGGGGAGGGGAACTTTCCAGGGAAGTGAGCTACATGTCCCAGCTTACGGTCCCCTCGTCACAGGGGTGTGGGGTCTGGGAGCGTGTGCCCGGGCTGGCCCGGCCTTTCCCGTCTGACACGCCGCACGACACCTGCTTTTGCTAAGAATAGACGAGGGGGGCACAGGATTCTGCAGAGCCAAGATGCTCTTGCCACTCACACCGGTAATTGCCACGGTGGTGGGATTTATGGGGGCAGCAGAGCTCACGGGGTGCCGAAGACACCACTGTCGGGTCGAATTAGGCGGGATTACCTGACATTATTCGCTCCCTTAGCGCTTTTATCCGGAGCAAATTGCATAGCTTACGAGTTACACGTAACCCCCTCTTACTGCCGAACGGTTAATGCTGAACCAGTCGAGTTAAGCCCTGTGCTCCAGGGCACAGAGGGGACTCTCTCCCGGGATGAAGGCATACCTCTATACCTGTTTCATCATTTCCTTAATCCACCTTATGTGTGTTACACATCTGCAACTTGGCTGTGTTCCTGAATAGAGCATGTATACTAACCCCCATGGACTCCCCCCCCCCCCA